TTTTTTTATATATATATATATATATATATATATATATATATATATATATATTGGTACCATCATGTCATTAATGATTCTCACAACGGTATCCAGGGGTTACCCATAACAAAATTTGTCTCTTAGTATAATGTAATCCTCATGTAATTTCACAATACAATAATCTCATGAAAGAGAATACCACATACATGTATTCATAACATCATATTTACATATTCCTACATTCATATTTGTATTCCATTACAATTATTGATACAAGTCATTTTAAAAGTGCCAAATGGCTACTATAACATTCGTTCTTTTTAAATACATCACTCATTTATGGTATCTTTTGTACTTTGATTCGCAATTTTTTAATTTTTTTCGTAGCCAACAAATTTAATTCAATTGCCCTTAAATTTGACCTAAAATGATGCAATTGAATAAAAAATAAAGTTCAAGAACCAAATTAAAAATAAAAACTGAATTTTGAACGGTATATCCATAGTAAAATGTGAGGAGGTAAATGGTGCATATAACCACAATGAAAAGGCTACACATTTTAGTTTTTTACTTAATTATAAGGATAACTAGAACTATTCTAAGAAACTTTGTTGATTTAATTTTATAAATTAGCTTATCCTTTTTCATGTTAATTAAATTATAATTATCTTTTTCTATCCTGTATATTATATATGTTATATTTGACTCAAATTTTCTTTATATTAAGCAGCTTTTTAGAACTTTTATTTAAGTGGACATTTTAAACTAAAGCCTAAGCTTCTCTTAGTTTTGCAAATTATATATTTATTTTTATAGATCTTTTATTTTGTTAGATTTTCTTAAATATATATATGCAACAAAAATTATCAATTTGAAATATTTTAGAGTCTCAATGATCCTAATAAATAGATATATGTTTATTTATTACTTGAAGATTAGATGTTCTTTTTGGTTTTAAATAATTGTCTTAATGTTGAGTTGAGTTGCTACAAACCATAAATTTTCTAAGTGTTCAATTTCTAACAGTAATCTACACGAACCACTAGTGAGAAGTCTCCTAAACATTTTTAGAAGATAAGAATTGCTACACCTTTTAAGTGGTAGCTCGTTTTTGTTTTTAGGTATTTTTGTATTGTACTATACTCACAAAGAATAAAAAGATGTAACTTTTTTATTTATAAGAAAACCTAAAAATTATGTAAAACAAACTTTAAGATCAAAATAAAATTTATCATGAATTTAATTTAGAATTTACCATGCCTTTAATCTATGTATAGAATTTCTTATTTTGTTGTCTTCTTCAAGTACAAATAAGAGTATTGGAAAATTAAGAATTAAAATCAAATTAAGCTTATTAAGCTTAATATATCTTAGGTAAATTTGATTATCCAAACTCAAACATTTAAAGTGATGATTTTTCTTACATTTTATGTCTTTAAACATTGTTTAATCTCCTTAGATGCTCATTTTTCTATATCTCTAAAGATATGATCAACGCATTTATCTATCCTTGCATTTGTTCGGTCTATCCTTGCATTTTTATTTCCATCATTTAT